GTTCTCATATGTATAAGTTTATAGAGGAAAATGCAGTTCCTGGCTTTGTGTAAAAATTATGAAAATTATGCTAAATTTCAGCAAAATTTGTAACCTTTTAATCAACTAAAAATCGCTTAAAACAAAAATCATTGAAATCGGCTCACTATCTGAAGACTTTTCGGGTTAGAAAAAATTGTTTTTTAATTTTATATAACACAGTCCGACATGAAAATTTTCTCAGAGATAAGACTAGCCATTTCTACTAGATTTTGGATCACTAAATTTGTAAAAATAAAAACTTGTATATTTGAATTTTAAAAAAATAAGGCGAATACCAACTGGCAAAATCGGCTAAAAACGGCAATTTTTTTTTTGCAAAACGGCTATCAAATCGGCTGCCGGCTAAACCGAATTTTCTCCGGCTGTTTGCTATCGCAACCGGCTAAATCTAGCCGGAAAACGGCTAAAATGTCAACACTGCTAATATGTGTGGAATTGAATTGCAAGTTTTGAAAATTTTAGTTTTAGCGTGTTTGCTCATATTGGCCAATGCTCTTTCTTATTCTAACTATTCCCTTGTTTCAACTGAGTTTTTAGTCCATATTGAATTACACTGGAACTCAATAAGCTGAATTTGAAAAACTTTGATTTCCATCCAATTTATACAAGTTCAGTTTATCAAGTGAAGTCACTTTAGGATATATAATAAATGAATTTCCTTGAAGGCAGAAACCGTCGTTGAGAGTTTATTAGCAAAGAAAAGTCTTCAGTGACTCTTGATCCGATTTTAAATTTGTTAAGTTTAACAAACATTTGTAATTTTTGGAAAAAATAGGGCTCATTCATAGTCAAAATAAAGACGACACTAAAGTTGGTTGCAGCTTTTTCTCATAATCAATTATCAATGTAATATCTGCCAAAAAAATCTGCTAATAAATTTAGAGTCAACTTTATTTCGACTATGAATATGCCTCAATATCTTTAAAAATAACTTAAAGTTTAGCTTAAAAAGCGCGAATGAGATCTATCCATCATAATTACAACAGTTTTATTAGAGCTTTGAAACTTCACGTTCAAATCATTGAATTTCTGGCGCATATCCATAAAGCCACCTATTTTGCAAGCCACATATAAAGTTGGAACTCCATAGGCAAGCGTATGCGTACGTATACCTGGCTTACCAAAGGGATCCTAAAAGACTATTTTTTTGAGCTATAAACCTTCTTATATCGGAGCTTTCCCTCATAAATGAGCTCTATTTGGAGCCCTAAATGAGCGATTTTTCGTTCTACGCGGGCACGGAATCTAAAAAGGTACTCCGAAAAGACTCAAAAACCGATGAATTCGGTGCATTTTATGATTCTTTTTCAGTGAATTTCGGAGCTCTTTTGGAGTCATATTTGAATGTTTCTAGGAGTGTTTTTACAGTCATATTTGAGCATTTTTCATTCTTTTTCTTCTTCTTTTCTGATGGTTTATTGGAGTCTTTTTGGAGTCATTGTCTAACATGTCGTAATGCTTTTTTGATGTTTTTTAAACCCTTTTTAATATAATAAAAACAACTTCTTTTACATCTCGATTTTAATTTTTTTACTATTATTTGTTATTAAAATATAAAGAATTTTAATAATTAAAAATACAAATACATATGGGTGTTCCAGCGGAAGGTCCACCACGACAAAAAAAAAATAAAAGTTTTATATCTAACGTATTTACGGGCCGATTTGTCTGCTTTTTAAAATATATACTGGCTATGTATGTAGAATCATATTTGCATAAAATGGTCTTCCTAGGTGGTGCCAAGGTCGAGATATTTCGAAAAACCGTATTTATGGTCCGATTTGGTTCGAATTTGGCGTATGTGGTTGAAACATAATAAATCATAGATTTCCAATAAATTGACCCTGAATTGGCGCTTAAGTCAAAATATAAAGTATATTCTACATAAAATACATGTTTTATTTGCGTTAAAAATTAATTTAAAAACAATATTAACAAAAATATAACGATGGAAATTTATGTCACGTCACGCCACGTCACGTCACGTTTCACACTTGGGGTTGTAAAAGAGAATTGAAACAATTTGCATTAATTCAAAAAACTCTAAAAACAACTAGAATTGCTCCAAATCATATTAAAATAAGTTTCATGAAATTAGCCATCCACAATTCGCAGAGTTTTGCGATTTTGTAAGAAAAGAAAAAATCAACTTCCATTTTTTGTCACGTAACGATCCTCCCTTTAAATTTTTATATTTCAGGACCAAGCAGTTCGATTGATTTCATTTTTCGGTTAAATATAGAGCTAATTATGTGCTATACAATGGCCTAAAAAAGTTAAAGAAAACAAATGGTATTCCTTTTTTGTATCACATTGAAATCGTACGACTGTCACGGGCGCCACCATGGGAATGCCCATATACTATATACATTCATACTATACACCCCGTGCAAAGGGAAAGCTGAAAATTGTCACGAATGTTGCGAACGCCACTATAATTGAAATGTGCAAAGCCCCCATTGATCTCACTTTTCCAAAAAAAATTGTTCAATGCCAAAGGTCACATATTTTTTTTTGAGCTAAATATGTACACTGCCGGAATAAAGTATTACCGCAGCAAATTTTTCACAATATATGAAACAATTTTCATTCTAATATTTTTCCGCTAATTTTGTATAAAAATATGGTTCATTCTACAACAAAAAACATAAAAATATAATTCCTTAACTTTCTACAAAAGTCGCAAAAACTCAGCAAATTTTCAACTTTTTAATCAGATTTTTTAGAATTTTTTTGAGTATGCAGGGTTGTAGCCCAATAAATTTTATTATAATAAAATGCAAGTTTTAGTAGCTAGGAATTACCGTTTTTTTTTCACGCAGTCTCTCCATACAAAAATTTTTTTTCGAAAATACTTAATATGGAAAAAATGCAAAACACCTTCAACAAAAAAAATTCTCAAAAATCAACGCGATTTTTGACTAATTCCGAACTTGCATTTAACTTAAATTCTTTGGAATAATTTGTAGTTTATTGTATGAAAATTTCAAAACGATCGATGCACAAACGACTGAGATATAGCGAGTTTAAATGAAAATTTTGTTAAAATTATCATCAAGAATCAGTTCAGCCCAATAATAACATTTCAACCAACGCCACGCTGCAGCTTTTGTACGTTCGATTACAGGAAAATAAATAGCAAAGACAATAGTTGCGTTCCCTAACTCGCAAGAAGTTGCAAGAATTTACAGGATTTACCAGAAAGCGTTCCCGTACTCGGTTCTCTGGCTTCTTTTGCTTCTTTGAGTATGCAGGGTTGTAGCCCAATAAATTTTATTATAATAAAATGCAAGTTTTAAGTAGCTAGGAATTACCGTTTTTTTTCACGCAGTCTCTCCATACAAAAATTTTTTTTCGAAAATACTTTATATGGAAAAAATGCAAAACACCTTCAACAAAAAAAAATTCTCAAAAATCAACGCGATTTTTGACTAATTCCGAACT